AAATTTTTGTTTTGCCTTTACCGTTCACAAAAATTATGATATAAAAGAAATGAAATTTTATATAAATTACAAAAAAATAAAATAAAATACAGAAAAGGATCAGTGTCTATTTGCTATTTGCCACACAAATTATGATATAAAAGAAATGAAATTTTATATAAATTACAGAAAAGGATAGTAGTAATTTTATATAAATTACAATAAAATAAAATAAAATACAGAACCTTTTCTGTATTTTATTTTATTTTATTGTAATTTATATAAAATTACTACTATCCTTTTCTGTAATTTATATAAAATTTCATTTCTTTTATATCATAATTTGTGTGGCAAATAGCAAATAGACACTTCCATCTCTAGCATGGGCTGGTTTGATTTCTAATTTGTCTTCCCAGACGAATGAGTTAAGATCCTTTTCTGTATTTTATTTTATTTTATTGTAATTTATATAAAATTACTACTATCCTTTTCTGTAATTTATATAAAATTTCATTTCTTTTATATCATAATTTGTGTGGCAAATAGCAAATAGACACTTCCATCTCTAGTATGGGCTGGTTTGATTTCTAATTTGTCTTCCCAGACGAATGAGTTAAGATGTTGCAACCTAGAAGTCTAGAATAGTGTATATATTGGAATCTCTTTATATAATATATATATATTATATTATTTTTGTATTTTTAAGGGACACATAAGAGACAAACCTGCCAAGATATACACAATCAAAGGGGGCATACCCTATAAGCACAAAAAACAGTCATAAAATCCCCAGTACGATCAAGTCAGTAACATCCAAAATAGAGCCCAAATCAAACCAACAAAAAAACAGCATAGGCCACACCCAAAAAAAACAGACCAAAATTAACTCCAAACTTCCAACTACCACCCAGGACATCCAAGAATGATGACTAGAGGAGCACATACCACCACACCAGTCAATCTACCAATTATTTAATAAAAATAACAGAAGTTCACTTGGTCGTAGGGCCGGGAACTTAAGGTTGGGTGGCCGGATTTAAATTATGCAGCAATTTTTTTAAAAAAAACCCTTAAGATTGGGGGGCCGGATTTAAATTATGCAACAATTTTTTTAGTTCACTTGGTCGTAGGGCCGGGAACTTAAGGTTGGGTGGCCGGATTTAAATTATGCAGCAATTTTTTAAAAAAAACCCTTAAGATTGGGGGGCCGGATTTAAATTATGCAACAATTTTTTTAAAAAAAAATTGTTAATTCAATTGTAATAGAATTTATTTTTAATACTGGTCATAGTATATAAATCTTGAGAAAATAAAAAAATGAAAAAAATACAACTTGGAAGGAAAAAAAAAAAAAAAAGATTAAGTAGATTCCACAATTCAACAACATAATAAATTTTAACTCAATTTTTAACCCAAAAAAAAAAAAAAAAATCAACAAGATTATTATTGAGTTATAAACAAGATAGCAATAGTTATAAAATTTGTTATTTAGAAAGTAATAACTAAAAGTATATACGTGATATTATTATTGTCATTAAGAGTCTCACATTACCTTAGTTTATCTTCTTTCCAAATATTCATAGAACTTGCCAATAAAGATTGTTATATAATTTTAGATAATTTTCTTATAAATTACCATTTTGACAAAAAAATTTAACAAAGAATGCTTCATGCATTTTTATCATGAGGGAACATTAACTATTATTATTTTTTATTATTTTTTTTTGAATTAATATTATAGATATTGTACGTGTAAATATAAATAAAATAACATTATGTTGAGATAACAACTATCATAATTATTGCCCCCGGGGGCTTGACCAAGTTGGTAAGGTAATGACCTGAGAACGCTCATGTCTCAGGTTCAAACCCGTTCATCGCCATTATAATTCTCGACTGAAATTGTTGCTGCGGTGTGGGCCCAGCATGCCTGGTTTGTAGCTTGAGGTGGGTCCCGAAGGGGCCCTGCCCAGGTGAGTTCCAGTGCCAACCAAAAAAAAAATGACTATAATAATAATGAGCTTAAATTTTTGTTTTATAATATTTAAACTTTTAAAAGTATATTTAAAAGAGTGTAAATTGAAAAATATTTAAATTTCAAGAAGACAATAATTAAATTTATTTTCAAACTCTTTATTTTGGGTCGATATATGTGTTTTGAAAAAGATTGGGGGGCCAATTGAAATTTTTAATTAATTTTAGGGACAAAATTTATAAATTAATTAATATTTAGAGACTATTAATAGAATTTTTTTTTTAAATTGGCTAGTCAATATATTTGTTAAAAATATTGGTGGGGGGGGGGGGGGGGGGGTGTTAGAAGCAAAATTAATTTAATAAAAAAAATTCCCATTTATAAAAATAATAATAATAAAAATTTCCAAATATTTTTTTTGGGGGGCGGGGGTCGGCCGGCCAATTTTATTATTATTATAATTATTTTATAGCATCTATGTTTACACTCAAGATGGGCATTTTGCTTTCTTAGTCTCAACATGTGATTCATGCCTTGGCTGGGAAAGAGTTCGGGATTAAAACAAAGATCAGCGTTTGTCTTCAAGTTCCATGAAGTAGCTCGTTCTCATAACCCCTCTCAGATAACTAAAATAACCGATTATCACAAGCTGAGGAATCATTTTTTATCCATTGGTGGCATGCTAAGGTCAAGTCGTGTGCAACGGATGGAAGTGACAAGTTCAAGTTTCAAAAGTACTTGAGTGCATAGGATTAGAGGAATATCATATCCAAACACCGAGACCCCTACAAGTGGCACTCTATACAGTGCATTAAATGCGACAGCCAATATCTCCCATCCGGGTTAACTTTTGACTTCTCATACAGTCATATATCAATCAAATGATCGAGTGATGAGCGATGAAAAGTACGTATTTAAACTCCTTAAACTTAGGCATTCTAGTACCTTTATTTATCTTCTTTTATCATTTTAGATTGATTTCGCATTATTTCCATTTTCAGGCACTTATCCCGAAAATAAGCTAACTCAGCCAAATAAGAGTTTAATTGAAGCAATTCTGGGATTAAACAAAGAAATGAGCAAAGTGGAGAAAGAAGAAAGCAAATGAAGCCAAAGGTGGGAAGCAGCAAAGTTCGATCGATCCAAGTTCAAGGTTCGATCGATCGAACAATGATCGATCTCAGCACTTCAAGATAGATCCAAGCCTTGGCCAAAAGCATAAAGTCTAAAAGTTTGATCGATTCAAAATCACCCTTCGATCGATCTAACACTTTTGTCCTTATTCAAATGATTGATCCTATCCACAGTTGTACCACCCACTAACCACTTTTGTCCTTTTTCCAAAAATATCTCTCAAAATATCTCGGATTTGTCTTTTCCCAAAAAGCTCAACCAGTTGGATCGATCCAGCCTAAGTTCGATGGATCTCTGCCAGTTCGATCGATCCAAGTCCAAGGTTCGATCAATCGAACTTCCTCCAGTGCGAAAAAGTTAAATTTTCAGCTTGTGCAATCCGTCCTCTATCCAATCATTAGAGAATATTCTTGGCACAACCCCAGCTCATTTTGTGTGTCACTTGACCTACCTATAAAAGGAATATGATGCACTTTTTGAAGAAGACACAATTCTAGGGTTTATTCTCTTGGAGAAAAAGCTTAGAGGAGGAGGAGGCTAGAGACACCATTGGAGACTCTTCATCAACCAAGGAGCAAATCTCTTCCATGGAGTTAGCCCTTGAGGGTTGGAGCAACATCACCATGAGTGGCTAGACATCCTCTTAGGGCTAGAGTTATTCCCAATCATACTTTCTCTATCTTAATATTGTGTATTATTGAGGGATTAGTGTTGTAATTAATGTTTTGACACTTTGATATATATAAATCTTATTTATTCAATGATTTATGTGGTTTAATACTTCCAATTGATCATTTCATTCTATCCATATGTCTATGTATGCTAGAATAGATGTTCATGTATTTACCTCTATTTCTTTTAATGCCATAGATTTAGAGATTGTCAAAACATTGTGCTTAAAAGAATGCTCTTGTGATTTTCTAAATGGTCCATGCTCATTTCTTAGTGGATTATGCCTCTCCCTTAGCTTAATTAGTTTAATTTCTTGTCATTAGCTTAATTGTAGTGCAGTGATAGCTTAGTTGTTAGATGAGAGGACAATCCATGCTAATTGTTTGATGTTCCATACTTTTGAATGTAAGTAACATATGTCTCTAACCTTGTGGTGTATTTGGCTTGTGAGCTTAATGAAATGATTAATGACTTGCTAGATATGTTGTGCTTTTCACATGCTATTTAGACAATATATACTTAATTGCTAGATATATTGTGTTTTTCACATGTTGATTAGACAATGTATACTTAATTGGTCACCCTTACTAATTGAATTAACCAAACACACACACACACCAATATTGCAACACACATTACCCTCATTAGTCACTAGTTAGAAGTGTAGAAAAGGATTGCTTAGTGGTGACCTCTAAACTCCAAGATTTCTCTCTCTCTTACTTACTCTTTGTTACATTTAATTACTTAGTTTAATTTAGTTGCTCTCTAGTTTAATTAATCAGCCAACCATTTGTTTGATCACTCCCAACCATTTGTTTGATCACTCGACCTACAAACCCTAATTGCGATTCCACAATCAAGTACGACTCCAATCCCTTGGGACGATCTCTACTCACTCTTACTACTTTAATAGTAGTGTTGGTAGTAGTTTTTATAAATTTTAACTTGACCCAAAAGGCTTTTCTTGAACCGCTCATTCACTACAATAATTTGGCGTGTATCGAAGGGCTTTAAATCCTCATTGAGCTTCCTCGACCTCCACTATAAATTTGACTCACTTATGTCTGAGTAAAGAGTCCTGCACCAAACACAAATTTACACTTGCAAATGTTTCTTATTATGCAATTAGAATGCATTATCAGTCAATCTACTAATAATTTAAGAAAAATTATTTTTAAATCAAAAATTTTAATCAACTAATCAATGCCGGTGGAAGTAACTAATAAGCACTAACAAAAAATAACAAAACCTCAAATCCGTCGGCTATTTTATTTATTTATTTATTTTGATAGCATCTATATGTTTACATTCAAGATGGGCATTTTGCTTTCTGAGTCTCAATATGTGATCCACATGTATATACTTTTGCTGGGAAAGAGTTCGGCTCAAAACATGCTGAGGTCGTGTGGAACGGGTGAAAGTGGCAAATTTACGTTTCAAAAGCACTTAAGTGCCCACACAAGATTAGGGGAATAGCAAGTCGGAATACAGAGACGCCTGCAAGTGGCACTGTATGTTCTGCATTAAATGTAACAGTCAATATATCCCATCCAGATTAACTTTTGACTAGACAAATTGTCGGAGAGGATCATTTATACCGTCCAATCAGATATCAATCCAATGGCCGAGCTTCCTCGACCACCACTATAAATATGATCCGTTTAGGGATAGATTGTAGCCAAGATCATACTCTTTACGCAATTAGAATGCATAACTGATATTCATTCTTAAAAAAAAAAAAAAAACTAATGAACTTGATATGCTCTTTTATGATATGAACAAAATTGAATAAAATTTACAATGTTTCATGCAATGGGTTTGGATTTTTTGTTATGCCAATCCTGTATTAAGGAACGGAGGGTGCGATTAGGGGTGAGCTTTTTGTGGTCGAGCTTCAAGTTGGTCAGGGGCGAAGTGTCGTGACCGGTCCCGAGCCATTCTTCCATGGCTTCTAGCTCATATGAAAACCCATCTGCTGCAACTTGTGGGTTCTTCATTACATCCTGCACCCAATTTTCATGTCCATGGATTAATAAACACTAACTATACTGTTGATATTTGATATACAATCATCATCTAAGAACGTATTTTGAAAAATAGCCAAACTATGATCGTTCGATGAGGTGAATTTCATGCGAGTCACAGCATAGATGAGATTGGATTACCTTAATCACCACCCTCGTCAATGTAGAGGGTTTTCTTTTTAATGGGTGAAGTTCAGAAACTGCTAAGAATAAGTTAAGGCCCAAGGCAAAAATTTTAAAGTCTCCGTTCTTATTCCAAAAATGAATCTTCTACTTTGTACAGTATAATATTTCTAAACTATCTGTCTGACATTGACTTGATTAAACAAGTACACTAATTATGAATTACTCATTTGCTTTTTAATAAGGTTAAATTAAAAAAATTACTCTTAATAGTACAATATAAAAGTATTAAAAACCTAGTACCAAAAAAAGTTGGATAACAAAAGAAAAGTGTTTGGTGTCAGAAGTCCTAAACATAAAGTTATTAACACCCTAAGAATTTTGTGACAGAAGGAATATTTTTTATTCTCAGTAAATTACTATAGAAACCATAATTATATATGTATAATTCTTATTCAAATTATTCTTGTCCTATTTTTTAGTTAGAAAAATAAAAATTGGAATATTTTAAAGAAGTGGACATTTAAAAGCAATAAAGAGTAGTACGTTCTTATCAAATTATTCTTGTCCTTTTTAGGTAGAAAAAATAAAAATTGGAATATTTTATAGAAGAGGACATTTAAAAGCAATAAAGCGTAGTAGTATTAATGTAATACTATTTTAGATTTCAAATTTTCAATCAATTTTAATGGGCCCACATACCAAGATATATATATATATAGAATTTTGTTTCCATATGGGCCTTGGATTCATATTGGGCCTTAGGCATGGCCTTGGCCTTGCCTCACCCAATTGCAATTCAAATTGAAAGTGGTTTGGGTCCTCTGCTACCAAGAGGTGGCCCATGAGATGGGCCCAGTTCAAAAAAAATGAAAATGCCAAAGAAGCCAACCTGAAATATGGGGCAGAGAAAAGCACTAGGTACATTGCTGGAGTCCTCTATATCAACACCTCCACCAATGGCCACCTCACATCCTCCGTTGGCCGCTAGTTCGTCCGCCCGTTTTCTCACCTCGCCGATTGCTCTCGCGATTGTCGCGGTCCCTTCATTGGTGGACAAACACCTCTTTGCAATCCTGACAAGTTCCATTGCCAATTCTAGTGGCCATTCTCCAGCCATCTCATCTAAAACACCACCAACTGCTGCACTGTCCATCATTATCGCCTCTTGGACGGGCTCGGCCCAATTCGTCCCAGTGAGAAGCTGCAGTACTAGGTTGCCGAAAGCACGAATATCTGACCTTACATCAGATTCATCATAGCACCAACCAAGCTTAGAGCCATAGATTTTAGCAACAAGATTACTATCCAGGAGGATTTTGGAGAGGTTCAGGCTACCGTGAGCAATGGGCCTGGGCTGGGCCGAGTGAAGGAAGCCCAGGCCCGAGCAAACCTCGGCTGCAATCCGTATGCAAGCATGCCAATTCAGACCCCTGTTTCGTCTTCTGGGGCTTCCATGGATGGGCAACAATGCATCCCTTACACTGCCATTACGCATGTACTCGAAGACGATGCATTTTAGGTCGGAGCAGAATCCAATCATGGCGAGTAGGTGGGGATGCCTAATGTGGCTGAGGAGCTTCACCTACATTATAAACACCAATTTAAGTTAATTGACAACTCTAAACAATCATCAATACATTACCATGTTAGTATCATTAGAGGTATCAAAAGTCATTACATGATAGGTCTCATAAATGTTACTGCAACCATTAAAAATAGTTGTATGAGCTGAAAAAAAGTCACCTACCTTAGTTTGGAAGGCTTCTTGAGATGGTCCATTGACTGCATTATACAATTTGACAGCAACTGTCGTAGAATTGATCCGTCCCCTATACACATTTGTCCTCTCACCGGCTGATTTCAATCTCAAACGCTCTGAGAAATCATCGGTGGCTATTCTGATCTCTTCGGCTGTGTACTCTTTATTGCTAAACTCCAATTGATCACACAACCTTGTGGCCATTCCTATTGCATCCTTCTCTCTGCAGAACTCGATTCTACGCTGCAAAACATCCCTTTGTCGTCTCAACTCCTCAATCTTACGAACCATTTCAGCTCTTGTGGTCACTGCCTTCTCTAGCTCTGCCTCTGCGCGTGATTTTGCTAGAGAGGACAGTTGGAGCTTGCTCGAGAGCTCACCTTGGAGCTCCAAAATCGAATTCAGCTTACTCTTTTTCTCTCCCACTTCGCTCTGGACTTCACAAAGCTCTTCTTTCGCGGTGTCTAAGTCTTTCTTGAGTTCAACGCTGTCAGCTTTCTCTGTTTTTGTGCTTGCTTCGAGTTCCTCAACCTATAAGGCAAAATGGTTTAACTTCTATTGAATTGAATGAAAGTGTCAAGTAAACAAAGACATGACTAAGAAATTACCCTGCGAGCACATAAACAAATGGCCCATTCAGCTCTAGTTTGTCTTTCAACATCCTCCTTAGCTTGTTTCCTCTTCAATCGGATCACTTCATGAGCTTTGGCTATTCTCATTTTTAGCACTTCAATTTTCTCTGCAGCATTCTGATATCGCGCCAAATTGGTTAGAAATACGAGTTTAAAACTTTGAATAGAATCGAAGACAAATAAATGTAAATTTTTTTTCTTCAAAACAAAGAATTCAATTCCAAAAGGTGAAATTTGGATAACAAGTCCTATAAAAAAAAATGGATCATCAAAGAACAGAAATGGATTTCCCACTTTTTGCAGACAGGATAAACAATAGTCGTGAGTGTGGACTTGGAACTCTTGCATCCAAACACACCCCTTGTAGGATCCTATCACTATCATGTCATGTGCCACAAGAGTTGAAAGGAAAAGATAAGGAGAAGATATTCATTGGTAGAAGACAAATAAGTGGAGTTGCTGAACATAAAAAATCAATAATTTCCAACTGCCTCAAAACTAAATTAGGGTTAATTATGGCCATAGATGTATGATCCGGGAGGGTTGCATGTTTGAACCGCAATATTGTGGTTGGGTGCGTGTTTGCGTGTTTGAACCGCAATATTGTGGTTCGTGTTTGCATGTTTGAACTGCAATATTGTGGTTGGGTGCGTGTTTGAACCGCAATATTGTGGTTGGGTGCGTGTTTGCTTGTTTGAACTGCAATATTGTGGTTGTGTGCGTGTTTGCTTGAACTTTTGGGAAAAAAGCAAAAAAAAAAAGAAAAAAAAAGAAAAGGAAAGTTACCATATTTTCTGTCATATCTGGTGCCGTTGGACTAGTCTCCAAGGTGTCATTCTCTTCTTCACAATCTTCTGCATCTGAATGGGAAGACAACAATTGATGGAAATAGTTTTCCATCTCTTGGGAAAAATGTTTCCATTCATCAGGGGAATTGTTGTCCGTCGACGAAGAAGGTGAGCTAAGGAGACTTTTCTCATTAGTACAATTTTGGGAGATCATTTTCTCAAGCCAACCTTTGAAACCAACCTTTTCTCTGACCTTAGCAACCATGACTCCTTGATCATCCTCCATAAGTTCTCCATTGTTTTCCTCTCCCAAGAAAACCAATTGCCCTCCACATATTATGAACAACTCACAGAATTCGGGTTTGTGCCGGTGAACATAAAATGATCCACTGATTGCACTCCTAGATTTCCTTCGCAGAGAGAAAAGAAAAAAAGGGACAGCCCTCTAAGACTCTAAGTAAACATTTAGAGCTAATTAATAACTTCCAATAAAACTAATTAAGAGAAAATATATACCATGATGAGGACTTCATGAATGTAATTCCCATAACCAATTTTGTTATCGCGAGTTCGGGTATCAATTCTAGTATGCTGTTGTGAATGGGTTCATCATGTTTCTCAATTTTAAGAATTTCAGCTTTTACCTATGAACAAATTATAAAACATTTGGTAAGTTTTGGAAGAATTAAATTTAAGGTAACATATATATAATGGGAAAAAAAATGTAACAAACCTTGAAATGGCCACAAAATGCTACATAGGTGGATAGTAAATTGTCAATTTTCCTTTCCTCTATCATCCTAAGCACTTTCAATTTCTCATCATTAACAGAACTTGCAGGTAGTTTTCCAACTGCGAAGGAAAATGAGTTTCATATTACCTCTTGAACAACTAAAGTACAAGAGGGAAAGGAATTGAAATGTCAAAGGGAAAGGAATTGAAATGTTAATATATATAACTAACATGGTGTGTAAACATATTCTTTGGATACGTCGTTAGCTGCAAAGAGGATTACTATGGAGATTGAATGTGAATTCCACTTTCTAAGTGCCCATTTCAGGGTCCCAAATCCATCTTGTATATCGGTCCCAATCGCGACGTAGACCTTCTCTGCTTGAGCCTCCATTGCCTTTCTTGAACCACTTTTCTCCTTGAAAATGCAGGAAAATTATTTCCATGTGAAATTACATTGAAATGAATGAATTCTGGCCATATACTTGAAATTGATCCAAACAGAGGTTGAGCTAAGAAAGTCCAAACCTTGTGAAGGAATTGTGTAGTAAAGAGGAATTCAAAAGGACTGTTTCGCTATCTTTTTCTTCTGGTTGTAGGAGGGCCAAGAAAATTCAGGAAAATGCAGGAAAATGATCCAAACAAAGGTTGAGCTAAGAAAGTCTAGAACCTGTGAAGGAGAAGGAAGGCTGCTGTGGAATGAATTTTGTTTGTTGAGAGGAATTCAAAACGACTGTTTGGCTATTTTCTTCTTATAGTGTGGGACAGCCAAGAAAACGCAGGAAAATGCAGGAAATTAAACTATTTCCCCGTGATTATGCATTGATATGAATGAATTCTGGTCAAACCCATCAGTTGAAAGTGATCCACACAGAGGTTTTAGCTGCTAATTAAGAAAGCCTAGACCTTGTGAAGGAGAGAAATTGGAAGGAAAAGGAATAGGGAGGCTGGGGGGTGTGGAATGAATTGTGTGGTGAAGAGGAATTCAAAAGGAGTGTTTGGCTTTTTATCTTATGGTTGTAGGCCGGCCAAGTTCAGACCTAATTACTCATTGAATTTTTTAGTATTCAATGAATCTGGAACTGCGTATCAACCTAGGCTAGTACATAACTAAGGGAGAGAGAGATTGATTGATTGACCATGTGTAATTACAATTAGCTAATTAAAAAAAATCAATTATTAATGTAAACTTTGATTTTGACTCTTTGAAAAATGACACAATCACGCGTCTCACACTTATGGCTTTGAAATAAGAAAACAACGTACCGACCCTGACGTTCAATGGTTCTTCTAGTATTTATTCTAGTCGGTTTGATAAAGTAGGAACAAGGGCATTGTCAACGGTTTAATTGGCAAGGCATGTTCGAGTTTTTTATTTTATTTTATTTTTTTTAAATTTATTTATTATTATTTTTTTATCATAAGAAAATAAATAAATAAAGTGGAATCGAGCCTAAAGCAGCTCTAGCTTACATGATATGATATGAGTGTTTAGGAGTAGAGTCATGATTTCTATTTCGAGGGGCACAATTATAAAAAAAAGTAATTAATTTTACTCACATTTTTCAGGTTTGATTAATTTTTACCCTCAAACATCTTTTCAAAATAACTATCACACCTAATGTGTGTTGATCTATTTTAACTTGCTTCCCCGCCGCGATTGAATGAGAATGGATAAGAGACTCGTGGAATTGACATGGAAATGAAAGACAATTTCATGTGGGATTGACAGGGATGGCTATATTTCTGAGAGCGAACTCTAGGCGAATATAAAGCGTATGGATACAAGTTATGCCTTGAAATGAAAGACAATTCCGAATTCGCTTTGTCTACGAATAAGGAAGTTATAAATAATACAACTATGAATCTCATGGAGAGTTCGATCATCGCTTAGGATGAACGCTAGCAGCATGCTTAACATATGCAAGTCGGACGGGAAGTGGTGTTTCCAGTGGCGGATGGGTGAGTAACGCGTAAGAACCTGCCCTTGGGAAGAGAACAACAGCTGGAAACGGCTGCTAATACCCGTAGACTGAGGAGCAAAAGGAGGAATCCGCCCGAAAAAGGGCTCGCGTTCATTTTTATTATTTCGTTGAAGGCTCCGTTAAATGCAGGAAAAAAGACAAAATTGTTCATGATTTTTTAATCCCATTTATTTCAAAATATCAAGTTACTTAAATAACCATTATACTTCTACACTCACCAACCACCACCACCACCACCACCATTACAACATCCATCACCATCAACGTGACCACCATGGCCGCTGCCACCACCCGTCCTTTCATCTCTCTCTAACCTTCTGCCACCACCAGTCCTCTCATCTCTCTCTAAGCTTCTACCACCACCACCCAAATCGCCACCTCCACCACCATTACCCATAATCGGCACCTCCACCATTGCTCACAACACCATACAAAACAACCATCTCCACCCCAGCAACTCACTTCTCATAATCATCGGAACCCTAAATCGTCAAAATCACTACAACCACGAAATTCTTGTGTGTGTGTGTGTGTGTTTTTTTTATTATTATTTTTTATCATAAGAAAAAAATAAATAAAGTGGGAACCAAGCCTAAAGCAGCTCTAGCTTACATGATATGACTGTTTAGGGCAAAGTCAGGATTTCAATTCAGAGGAGGCACGGTTTAAAAAAAAAAAAAAATACACATGCAAAAAGAAGAATTTTAAGAAGAAGAAAAAAGGAGGAAGAAAATTGAAATAAATTTGAAAGGAAAAAAAAATTAGAGTATGATTCAAAAAGGGAAAATTGACATTTTTAATATATTTTTTTTAAAAGGAATTTAAAGAATAAAATAAAGAAAAAGTTAAAATAATTTTAAAAATTAAAAATTTAGGAGACACGATATATAATTTTTCATATATACTTAATATATATATATATATATATATATATATTCTATTGGACAAGCCAGGGCCAGGGGAACGTGCCCCCTAGGCTTTATTTGGCTCCGCCCCCGTAAGTGTTGCTTGAACTTTTAAAAATAATAATAATAAATAAAAAAAATCGTGAAGTGGTTATCTTTATAATTATTACAAAAATTCAATATTACAATTTTTTTATAAAAATAATAATAATAAAAAAAAGCAACGTTACTTCTTCTTCCCTGTCAAAGAAAGCATTAGCCTCTTCTTTCCTCTTTGATATCAATGTTATGATAATTTTACTCAAATGCCATCTGTCGCTATGGTGGAGAATTTTACATTGGGGAGTTTGTGTATCTTGTGTTCCACGTGACTATATGACTGACTGACTACACTAGCCAATTAGATGGGACTCATAATATTAGGTCAACAATTCAACCAAAATGTTGGATCCACGCCTCCTGTGGGTTGAAAGACTTTGAATGGTTGTATTTATGTTCGAATTTTTTTTTTTAATAATTTATTAAAATCTTAAAAAGTTTGACTAAGAAGCATTTTATTATACATGTACTCGATAACATATAATAACATAATTATACGTGTGAATGATTGTGTCCGTTCATTACAATAAGCATGTTAGTACTTCAAAAAAATCCTCTCACATGCAAATTTTAAGAGTGGGCCTTTAACTTGCCCTCAAACGCATTGCTGGATCAATTCTAGCCCATCGTCATCTTTGTTGTTGGACCATAAAATTGGATGCCAGTTGGGCTTTGAAGGGGACCATTCTATCTATATCTTTCATAATTTCACAAAGTCCTCCCATTTCACATCAGTATTATGAAGAGGTGGCATTATTTGCTGAATGGAACATGAGGATTGCATATTTTTCCTACCTTCACAGGTCACTATAGTTAGGATGACGACGAGACGGGTTTGGCGTGAGACTTTTCTCATCTCCGTCTTTATTTAACATAGTAATATTCATCTGCGTTTAAAATTACTTATCAAAAGACTCGTAAAGGGATAAGAAATAGCGTTTTGGTGTTTTAGTTTATGAAATCGTATTTTAGTATCTTTAATATTATATGAGAGTATTCAAGTAATTTATACAATATAAACAGGTGGGGCAAGGGTCCCTATCCCAGTCCCCACCTCGCACTCTGTCATGATTAATTCACCCCAAAACCGTCCCAATAGAACCGGGATGAGTACGTTTTGGGACGGGATGATTTGTATCCCTAACGACTACATAAACCAAAAGCCCTCAATAGAGAATGTTCTTAGGCTAGTAGTAGATGATGTTAAATTTGGGTCCCTTTCAGATAACTGGATCTAGCAAAACAGCTCAACAAGGGCCCAAATTGATCTACACAAAGTCATGTCATCAGCTTTGTTTGATGATGACCCAATTGCAATTGGGCTTTCACTATAAACGCTAAGCCTCATCCAATTGCTATAGTCACCTAACTGATTTTCATTTTAATTGAAAATAGCCATCATAAATCAACTTTTCACATTTTTGGGGTATGTGTAGAGGCCTTGTGTGACGGGCAGTTGTGTAATGGGATGGTGTTATATATCTCACCCATTTATATTCATTCGCTTTTCGATTCGAATTTGATGCAGGATAAACTCTTCTTTATTAACGTTAGTTCAAACTTGGGTCAGGTAGGTGATTGAGGGCTTAACTCGACATATAAAATTCGAACTTTTGACAAGTTTAAAATCAAGTGAAAATTAAAAAAAACTCTACTTAATTATGCATATTTTCAAATATGTCAATTTTTTCAAACTATAAGGTTTGACTGTTAACTTTATCAAACAAATTACAAAAGTGTACAAAAACACTATTTAGACTCTTTAATAGTCCAGAATGCTCTTATATCTTCCAAAAAAATCCAACGTCGACTAAGTTTCTAAACTTCATTGTTTTCGGTCATGAGCTCCTAAGGCTCATCTCAACACTTGTGGTACCAGAGGACATTCTTGTGACTGTGGCGGTGTCTTTTCCAGTAGCTTTTTTTATTTAAAAAAAAAAAAAATTTAATTCCTTTTTTCTTATGTAATTAATTTAATTAATTTCTCTCTCTATATAGCTAGCTCTCTCGATCTCTTGGCGGCCCTGTTGGTGAATTTGATCTCTATTCCATTTTTATTTATTTGATTAATTCTTATGATATGTTTCTCTTTTCTTTTCACTGAAATCCTAGAATTTCAAAAAATAATATTTAAATTATGCAAGAAAGAAAAGTATGTGAAGCATACTAATTTTTGATACTTTTCTTACTTCTGGTTAACTAATTTCTTGTTATTCTACAATTATTCATGATCCATAAAAATGTTATGTATTGATCATCAATTTGAATCTCAATGATTAACAAGTTCTAGTAGCACTAATACCTGACTTGATCCAGTTTAATGTTATATATATATATAATTTTTTTGCGAGTGAGTTAGGTTCTATTCTCGACAATAGTTTTTATTTGATTTGAGTTGTTCTGTTTTGTCTGTTAGAGCTCATGGCCGGAAATAACGAAGTTTAAGAACTTGGTGGACGTTGACTTTTTTGGAAGAGATAAGGGCATTTTGGACCATTATGGAATCTAAATAGTGTTTTTGTACACTTTTATAATTAGTTTGATAAAATTAGCAATCAATCTTAATAATTTGAAAAAGTTGACATACTTGAAAATATACATAATTAAGTGCACTTCTTCTTCTTCTTCTTCTTCTTCTTCTTCTTTTTTTTTTTTTTTTTTTTTTTCTTAAAATGAGATAAGTGAATTTATTCAAAATAATATTTACTAATAATGTTAGTCTTATATGTAATTTCTAGACTAAATGTGAATATGATAACTACTGGTTGGTTGTTACCGACATATTTTGGTAGTGTGTCTTGAAATACATCAATGAATCTCCCAAGTAGAGTAAGTAATAAGATGATGAGTGGGTAAGGTAGTAATATGATAATGCTAATTACTATTATATAATAATAAATCTACTCAATAATACAATATGTTATTATTTTCGTCTCACAATAATACAATATGTTATTATTTTCGTCTCAATTTAAGTATCGCTTATGAAAAATAATAAATTTTAAAGGGACATGTGGGACATGCATTATTTCCCTAGAAAGTTACTAACTTACTCTTTTAAGTTTTAAATATTCAAATTT